ATGGATCTGACTGTACATTGTAACATGACAACATGGGGGGGGGGATACATTGTAACATGACAACATGGGGGGGGATACATTGTAACATGACAACATGGGGGGGGGATACTCTGTAACATGACAACATGGGGAGGATTCATTGTAACATGACAACATGGGGGACATTTCAAGGGGGGGGGGACTTCTTCAAGGCACTGTAGATCCAAGAATAAAGAGAGGGAAGGCACCCGATCTCCTCTAATACGTATATTGCATTAATGTATCCATTGGGCCCCTGAGACGTAGTCATCCCATCTGCATCAGTCCTAGACATGTGCGATTCATTTAGATTTTTAAAAATCGATATTATGACAAAATATGGGAAATCCGGTTGTACACGAATCTTTATCACAATAGTAACAAATTTCAATGAATCCGAAATGAATTATAATGAAAAACATAACTCGCTTGTTTCATTTGGATGACAAAATGTGATAGTTTGGGCCTTTTGTTTATGTTTGAAGCATCAGAAATAACTTTACTACATAATGAATCCAAAACTAATTTTTATTCCATTTCGTTTTTATTTTGCATCAACATTTTTATTATTATAAAATATGGAAACATATTGCAATAAATATAGGAAGGTATAAAAGTGAAATAAGGTGAAAATTCCTACTTATTGTGTTTGGGTTGGATGGAGGTGGATCCATCAGAATCCCTGAATCATAATGAATGACTCGTTCCTTTCTTTCTTTCAGATACACTATATTGCCAAAAGTATTGGGCCGCCTCCCTTTATACACACATGACCTTTAATGGCCCCCCAGTCTTAGTCCGTAGGGTTCAATATTGAGTTGGCCCCGCTCTTTGCAGCTATAACAGCTTCAACTCTTCTGGGAAGGCTGTCCACAAGGTTTAGGAGGGTGTCTATGGGAAGGTTGGACCATTCTTCAAGGCGTTCTATGGGGTTGAGGTCAGGACTCTGTGCAGGCCAGTCAAGTTCCTCCACCCCAAACTGGCTCCTCCATGTCTTTAGGCACTGGTGCGCAGTCACGTTGGAACAGGAAGGGGCCATCCCCAAACTCTTCCCACAAAGTTGGGAGCATGAAATTGTCTAAAATGTCTTGGTATGCTGATGCCTTAAGAGTTCCCTTATCTGGAACTAGGGGGCCAAGCCCAACCCCTGAAACACAACTCCCCACCATAATCCCCCCTCCACCAAACTTTACACTTGGCACAATGCAGTCAGCTAAGTACCGTTCTCCTGGCAACCTCCAAACCAGACACGTCCATCGGATTGACAGACAGAGAAGCGCGATTGGTCACTCCAGAGAACACGTCTCCCCTGCTCTAGAGTCCAGTGGCAGCGTGCTTTACACCACGGCATCCAACGCTTTGCATTGCACTTGGTGATGGAAGGCTTGGATGCAGCTGCTCGGCCATGGAAACCCATTCCATGAAGCTCTCTACGCACTGTTGTTGGGCTCATCTGAAGGCCACACCAAGTTTGGAGGTCTTTAGCTATTGACTCTGCAGGCAGTTGGAGACTTCTGCGCACTGTGCGCTTCAGCATGCGCTGACCCCGCCCTGTCATGTGACGTGGCCTACCACTTGGTGGCTGAGTGGCTGTTGTTCCCAGTTACTTCCACTTTGTTATAATCCCACTAACAGTTGAGCGTGGAATATTTAGTAGCCAGGAAATGTCACGGATGGACTTACTGCCCAGGTGGCCACCTATCACGGGACCACGCTTGGAGTCACTGAGCTCCTGAGAGTGACCCATTCTTTCACCAATGTTTGTAGAAGCAGTCTGCATGCCTAGGGGCTTGATTGTATACACCTATGTCCATGGAGGGGATTGGAGCACCTGAATCACATGATATGGAGGGGATTGGAACACCAGAATCACATGATATGGAGGGGATTAGAACACTGGAATCACATGATATGGAGGGGATTGGAACACCTGAATCACATGATTGGGAGGAGATTGGAACACCTGAATCACATGATATGGAGAGGATTGGAACACCGGAATCACATGATATTGAGGGGATTGGAGCACCTGAATCACATGATTGGGAGGGGATTAAAACACCTGAATCACATGATTGGGAGGGGATTAAAACACCTGAATCACATGATATGGAGGGGATTGGAACACCTGAATCACATGATTGGGAGGGGATTGGAACACCTGAATCACATGATTGGGAGGGGATTGTAACACCTGAATCACATGATACGGAGGGGATTAGAACACCGGAATCACATGAGTTGGAGGGGATTGGAACACCTGAATCACATGAATGGGAGGGGATTGGAACACCTTAATCACATGATTGGGAGGGGATTGGAACCCCTGAATCACATGATTGGGAGGGGATTGGAACACCTGAATTACATGATTGGGAGGGGATTGGAACACCCGAATCACATGAGTTGGAGGGGATTGGAACACCTGAATCACATGATTGGGAGGGGATTGGAACACCTGAATCACATGATATGGAGAGGATTGGGACACCTGAATCACATGATTGGGATGGGATTGGAACACATGAATCACATGATTGGAGGAGGAGGCCCAATACTTTTGGCAATATGTATATCTTCCAATCAACTCGTTCCATTTCTCTTTGTAACAAATCCAAAATGAATTTATTTCCATTGATTTTCGTACAATCAGGTCATTCCATTTCTCTTTGTGGGTTGGACGAGCTGAATCCCAATTTACAAAACAAATCCGATTGGAACCCGACTATATGAATCACTTTAGCGAATATGACAAGACAAAATTAATAAACGAATGAATCCGAAATGAAACAAAACACATTTCTTTGTCGCGCACATCTCTAAATCGATCCCACGTCCACACCAGCAACGCCAAATTGGGCGCTACATCTGTACCTTAAGAAATGTAATACAAATGGAGACGTTCCAAAACTTTTCAGCCATTGTACGTGTTATGAAGTAAAATTGAACCATTCTGATAGCATTGCCGTCCTCCATGTTCCACACTCCGTTGACAAATGGAACATTTATAAATCTCCAGAATAATAACCAGCTGTGTGTTATTTACAAATATCGACCGGCGCAAAAAAAAAAAAAAAAAAGCACAATTGCAGCGTCTACCGCCAGCGCCGAACGACCCCCATTCACGTCCTGCTCTATATTTTTGGGAAAATTGGATTTCCGCCCACCGCCATAAAACATGCTCTTAAAAGATTGAATTAGAGGCAGCAATCAATAGATTGTTAAAAATAACCGCGGGCGGAATTACGGGGAAACGGCGCAGGCGCTGAGAACTTCCCCCGCCATGAAAATGTTCCGAAGGATTAAAATCTTTGATACAATGACATTAAGTTTTATCATTTCCCCTCACTGGTGTTTGCAAGGGCATCTGGGACAGTTTAACGTATTATGGGCTCGGGAATCTGGCAGATGATAAATGCCTTTAAAACATATTTTTTTTTTTTCTCCGATCGTTCTGTTTTCTGCGGTTTCCGCGCTCGTTGCTTTACATTCTGTTTATGAATCTGAACAGCGCAAGAAGCAAATTGAGCATTTTATTACTTGAAAAATATGTCCTATTTAGATGTGTGACTTACGGCCTGTAAATGGCGATACGGGGAGGAGACCGCGCTGCATTTTCATTGCTTGCTTTTAATGGAGGAAAGCCACAAACAAATGTCCATTTGCAGGTCGTTAATCCCCGAGTGCAACGGAAGAAAAAACGATAAAAGGTTCCTAAATAGGCACAACTCAGATTCATTTCTCCTAAAATGATTAGTTAAAGGGCAAGTCCTTCATAATCCGAGCAGTCAGATTCGGTGGGAGGCCGCAATGTACTTCTCCAAGCGATAGGCTGAGAATTGGCGTCTCCGGACCAGTAGAGACCAACCAACTGGTGCGTAGCCATGTCTGAACTGGATTTCGATATGGAGAACAACTGTCAGCCAATCTGGAAGCCTATCTGGTGCATTCATTTGAATTTAACAATGATAAATCCGTGCATCCCCTCTATAATGGCTTTCCCTCGCTACACTCCACTGAAACTGCCCTACTAATACTCACAAATGATCTACTAACTGCTAAAACCAATGGCCACTACTCCGTACTCATCCCAACCAATGGTCGCTACTCCATACTAATCCCAACCAATGGCCGCTACTCCGTACTAATCCCAACCAACGGCCGCTACTCCGTACTAATCCCAACCAATGGTCACTACTCCATACTAATCCCAACCAATGGCCGCTACTCCGTACTCGTCCCAACCAACGGCCGCTACTCCGTACTCGTCCCAACCAACGGCCGCTACTCCGTACTCATCCCAACCAATGGTCGCTACTCCATACTCATCCCAACCAATGGCCGCTACTCCGTACTAATCCCAACCAAGGGCCGCTACTCCGTACTAATCCCAACCAACGGCCGCTACTCCGTACTAATCCCAACCAACGGCCGCTACTCCGTACTAATCCCAACCAACGGCCGCTACTCCGTACTAATCCCAACCAACGGCCGCCGCTACTCCGTACTAATCCCAACCAACGGCCGCTACTCCGTACTCATCCCAACCAACGGCCGCTACTCCGTACTCATCCCAACCAACGGCCGCTACTCCGTACTCATCCCAACCAACGGCCGCTACTCCGTACTCATCCCAACCAACGGCCGCTACTCCGTACTCATCCCAACCAACGGCCGCTACTCCGTACTCATCCCAACCAACGGCCGCTACTCCGTACTCATCCCAACCAACGGCCACTACTTCGTACTCACCCCAACCAACGGCCACTAGTCCGTACTCATCCCAACCAACGGCCACTACTCCGTACTCATCCCAACTAATGGCCACTACTCCGTACTCATCCCAACCAACGGCCACTACTCCGTACTCATCCCAACCAACGGCCACTACTCCGTACTCATCCCAACCAACGGCCACTACTCCGTACTCATCCCAACCAACGGCCACTACTCCGTACTCATCCCAACCAACGGCACACTACTCCGTACTCATCCCAACCAATATTCACTACTCCGTACTCATCCCAACCAATATTCACTACTCCGTACTCATCCCAACCAATATTCACTACTCCGTACTCATCCCAACCAATGGCCACTACTCCGTACTCATCCCAACCAATGGCCACTACTCCGTACTCATCCCAACCAATGGCCACTACTCCGTACTCATCCCAACCAATGGCCACTACTCCGTACTCTTACTACTTGACCTCTCTGAGGCTTTAGATACTGTTGACCATCCCTCCTCGTCAAAAAACTCTCTTGGCCTCCCAGACTCTGCTCTCTCCTGGTTCTCCTCCTACCTATCGCAGCGCTCATTCAGCGTTACCTATAACTCTGTCTCCTCCTCGCCACTTCCTCTTTCTGTAGGGATTACTCAAGGTTCTATCCTTGGACCCCTTCTCTTCTCCATCTACACCTCCTCTCTTGGTCACCCGATAAACTCCCATGGCTTCCAGTACCTTCTCTATGCTGATGACACACAAATCTATCTTTCTACTCCTCACCTCATCCCTTCAGTCTCCTCCACACCTCACCCCTTCAGTCTCCTCCGCACCTCACCCCTTCAGTCTCCTCCACATCTCGCCCCTTCAGTCTCCTCTCACATTATTAACCTAACTGACATATCGGCATGGATGTCACTCCACTTCCTCAAACTCAATCTTTCCAAAACTGAGCTCTTAGTATTCCCTCCAGCCTGTACCCCCTCCCCCGATTTCTTCATCAAGATCAATAATACAACCATCAGTCCCTCCCCTCATGCCAGGGTACTAGGTGTAATCCTAGACTCCCATCTGTCCTTTCAGCCCCAAATCCAATCACTGTCCAAATCGTGTAGACTTCACTTCTGCAACATCTCCAAGATACGCCCGTTCCTAACCCCGGAAACTACTAAGCAACTTAGTCCTTCTCTTGTTATCTCTCACCTTGACTATTGTAACTCCCTCTTCATTGGCCGACCTCATCGCAGGCTATCCCCTCTTCAGTCTATCATGAATGCTGCTGCCAGAATCATCTACCTTACTAACTGTTCCATATCTGCCACCCCTCTCTGCCAATCCTTCCACTGGCCTCCATTCAGTGTCCTCCACCCCTCTCTACCAATCCCTCCACTGGCCTCCATTCAGTGTCCTCCATCGCTCTCTACCAATCCCTCCGCTAGCCTCCAATTAGTGTCCTCCATCCCTCTCTACCAATCCCTCCACTGGCCTCCATTCAGTGTCCTCCATCGCTCTCTGCCAATCCCTCCGCTGGCCTCCAATTAGTGTCCTCCATCCCTCTCTACCAATCCCTCCACTGGCTTCCATTCAGTGTCCTCCATCCCTCTCTGCCAATCCCTCCACTGGCTTCCATTCAGTGTCCTCCACCCCTCTCTGCCAATCCCTCCACTGGCTTCCATTCAGTGTTCTCCACCTCGCTCTGCCAATCCCTCCACTGGCCTCCATTCAGCGTCCTCCACCCCTCTCTGCCAATCCCTCCACTGGCTTCCCATTGCCCAGCGAATAAAAATTCAAAACATTTACAATCACATATAAAACCATTTAGAACTCCGCCCCAAATTACATCACCGATCTTGTCTCCAAATATCACCCAAACCGTACTCTCCACTCCTCCCACGACCTCCTGCTCTAGGTCCCTTGTCTCCTCCTCCCATGCTCGTCTCCAGGACTTCTCCAGAGCTTCCCCCATCCTCTGGAACTCTCTACCCCAATCTATCAGACTATCGCCTACTCTGCCCACTTTTAGGCGATCTCTGAAAACCGATCTCTTCAGGGAAGCCTATCCTGCCTTCAGCTAATAATGGAATCTTCTATTCCTCCTACCAGTCCATCCCCCACAGTTACTACCTTTTGTACCACTAGCCCCTCCCTCTTAGATTGTAAGCTCCCAAGATCAGGGCCCTCCTAACTCTCTTGCATTGAACTGTATTGTTGCTGTATTGTCTCCATTTATATTGTAAAGCGCTGAGCACACTGTTGGCGCCATAAATCCTGTATAATAATATATAATGTACTGGGCCAGCACTCCAGGCAGGCACGCTGATAGGTGATAGTGATGTTATTATTGGGTTCTTAGCATGGGACCATCTTGTTTGTCCCATTTATTTGCTGTGATCTTTATTGCTGTTTGTCTTAATTCTTGTTGCAACAATGCAAGGAAACCAACCCAGCATTATACACGGCTCAAAAAAATGAAAGGAAGACTTTGAAAACCCATCAGATCTCCTGCCGGATCTCTATACCGATATGCAGGGCTGCTGTTGAAACCATCGGGCCCCTAACAGACAACCTGACAGTCCCCCACCCCCACCAAAAAAAACCCCAAAAAACAGTTTTCTATGATTCAGTTATGAATGAACACAGTGAGTTACCAAAAAAACAACTGAAAGGCATGGAGTGTGAACCGGTCCTAACACCCCGGTCACACTGAATGCGAATTGGCATGCGACCCTATTGTCCGCAATTACAGCGGTCGTATCGGTGCGGTTCAACTTGGTCGGAGCCGCACCGATTTCTAAAGTAGCGCACGCACTACTTTTGGTGCGATTTGCATGGACATCCGTGTCAGATGTCTTGCAAATCGCACCTGAAATCGGCCTGTCTCCTGACTTGGAATTTGTGTGACTTCACTGTAAGTCGCATGATTTCTAACTCAGGTTTGATCTGACCTGGGGTGTAAGATACATTGAAAACAGGGAAATGAGATCCGGTCTCAAGTTGCAACAACGTTTCATCCTAGATGATTATATTGAGTTGGTATCACGCTCCACTAAATTATTTTGTGATCTATAATAATTGAAAATATAACTGAATTATAAATTATAAATATAACTAAATTTTTATATATATATATATATATATATATATATATATATATATATATATATATATATATAGCTATATTGTGCTATAAATCAGATTACCATATAAATATAATAAAAAAAATAACAAAAAAAAAAACCATAGAAAATGTGCACTAGTGACCAAAAAAATTTAAAATAGAACTGTGATTATTATTATTATTATTATTATTATATATACATATATGTGTGTGTGTGTGTAATATATACACACACATACAGTCAGGTCCATAAATATTGGGACATGGACACAATTCTAACATTTTTGGCTCTATACACCACAATGGGTTTGAAATGAAACAAACAAGATGTGCTTTAACTGCAGACCGTCAGCTTTAATTTGAGGGTATTTACATCCAAATCAGGTGAACGGTGTAGGAATTACAACAGTTAGCATATGTGCCTCCCACTTGTTAAGGGACCAAAAGTAATGGGACAATTGGCTTCTCAGCTGTTCCATGGCCAGGTGTGTGTTATTCCCTCATTATCCCAATTACGATGAGCAGATAAAAGGTCCAGAGTTCATTTCAAGTGTGCTATTTGCATTTGGAATCTGTTGCTGTCAACTCTCAAGATGAGATCCAAAGAGCTGTCACTATCAGTGAAGCCATCATTAGGCTGAAAAAACAAACCCATCAGAGAGATAGCAAAAACATTAGGCGTGGCCAAAACAACTGTTTAGAACATTCTTAAAAAGAAGGAACGCACCGGTGAGCTCAGCAACACCAAAAGACCCGGAAGACCACGGAAAACAACTGTGGTGGATGAGCGAAGAATTCTTTCCCTGGTGAAGAAAACACCCTTCACAACAGTTGGCCGGATCAAGAACACTCTCCAGGAGGTAGGTGTATGTGTGTCAAAGTCACCAATCAAGAGAAGACTTCACCAGAGTGAATACAGAGGGTTCACCACAAGATGGAAACCATTGGTGAGCCTCAAACACAGGAAGGCCAGATTAGAGTTTGCCAAACGACATGTAAAAAACCTTCACAGTTCTGGAACAACATCCTATGGACAGATGAGACCGACATCAACTTGTACCAGAGTGATGGGAAGAGAAGAGTATGGAGAAGGAACTGCTCATGGTCCTCAGCATACCACCTCATCAGTGATCATGGTGGTGGTAGTGTCATGGCGTGGGCATGTATGGCTGCCAATGGAACTGCTTCTCTTGTATTTATTGATGATGTGACTGCTGACAGAAGCAGCCGGATGAATTGTGAAGTGTTTCGGGAATATTATCGGCTCATATTCAGCCAAATGCTTCACAACTCATTGGACGCTTCACAGTGCAGATGGACAATGACCCAAAGCAGACTGCAAAAGACACCAAAGAAGTGGAATGTTCTGCAATGGCCAATCACCTGACCTGAATCCGATGGAGCATTTCACTTGCTGAAGACAAAACTGAAGGGAAAATGCCCCAAGAACAAGCAGGAACTGAAGACAGTTGCAGTAAAGGCCTGGCAGAGCATCACCAGGGATGACACCCAGCGTCTGGTGATGTCTATGCGTTCCACACTTCAGGCTGTCATTGACTGCAAAGGATTTGCAACCAAGTATTAAAAAGTGAAAGTTTGATTTATGATGATTATTCTGTCCCATTACTTTTGGTCCCTTAACAAGTGGGAGGCACCTATGCAAACTGTTGTCATTCCTACACCGTTCACCTGATTTGGATGTAAATACCCTCAAATTAAAGCTGACAGTCTGCAGTTAAATCACATCTTGTTTGTTTCATTTCAAATCCATTGTGGTGTATAGAGCCAAAAATGTTAGAATTGTGTCCATGTGCCAATATTTATGGACCTGACTGTATATATATACACACACACACGTTGGGCAGCACTGTGGCTAATTGGTTAGCACTTCCACCTGGCAGTACG